ATTCCTGGTATCCCCCCCCCCCCCAAAAAAAAAGAGCACTCAGGCCAGGTATGGTGGCACATACCTGTGATCCCAGGATTTGGGAGGCTGAGGCAGGAGGATCCCTGTGAGTTGGAGGCCAGCCTGGATTACATAGTGAGTTCAAGGCCAGCTTGGACTCTGTAGCGAGACCAAATGAACCCAAATGCCTTTCTGTTTGTGAGACTTAAGAAAATGTTTTGAAAGATGTAACAAAGGTGTCCTCGACTGTTAACGTACATTCTGCCTATGTTAGCCAATCAGAATTACATTTTAGGAATTTGACTTTAGGGAAAATTTCAGTTTCACAAAGGTGATAAGAAAATTAGAGTATAAAGGGAATGTAATTAAAATCTGAGTTGAGAACATCGGTGGGTTGTTTTGCTTTGGTTTTTGTTTTTGTTGTTTGTTTTTTGAGACAGCGGTTTTCCTATGTGGTGTAGGGTGGCCTTGAACTTGCTTATGTATCCCAGGCTGTCCTGGAACTCACCGCAATCTTCCTGCCTCAGCCTCCCGAGTGCTGGGACTACAGTTCTACACCTACACTCCTGGCTAGGACTGCTTTCTTAAACAAGGGTGGCCGCTGCTACTCGGTTATTCTACGCAGCACAAGTTGAGTCAGTAACAGATGTCCCTTCTGGCTATTACAGCAGAGAAGGGGTAGTGCTGATAAGTGCTTATTAGACATTATTTAATAAAATTCAATTTGAGAGCTTTCTTACTAGGTCTATGAGAAGGAATGGACAGTTTTGTCTATATAATGACTTGTGTCTGAGTACTATCCAACCATCCTGTGCTTCTTTATAATTTCCTGAAAGAGCTGGATCCTTTTTTTGTTGAAACAGGGTCTTTTTGTGGTTTAGACTGGCATTGAACTTATGTAGCCCAGTGCGATCCTCCTGCCTCAGTCTCCCAAATGCTGGGATCACAGGCTGTGCTACCTTGCCCAGCTCTGAGGTAGACCCACCTTTACTAGTGTAACAGCTTCCATAACTTTACATTATAAAGCTGGAGGGGATGAAGCCAAATGAGTGACTTCCTGTACTTTGTGGATGCTTCTAGTTCTTCTGAGCTTTACCATTTTGAGAGCCTATGACTAGTAACTTTCCTTTTATGTATGGTCTTCTGACTAGATTTACATGTGGACATCTTGCTTTTGGTGACATGAAAATTTGGTTAAAAAAATGACTCATTAGGGTCAAAGTTAATATTCACGTTCAAAAGCTCCAGAAGCTGGGCATGGTGGGACACTCGGGAGGCTAAGGCAGGAGGATTGTTGTGAGTTCAAGACCAGCCTGAACTGCATAGTAAGCTCCTGTCTCAAAAAGACAACAACAACAAAAAGCTTCAGAAAACCCATCAAAGATTTTTAAATAGCATTCTGAAATTCTGAATTTCTTTTTGTTTGTTTGTTTGTTTTGTTTTTTCCCTGGTACTGAGAATTGAACTAACAACCTTGCCCTTGCCAGGCAGGTGCTGTGCCGCTGAGCTAAATCCCCAGCCCTAAAATTCTGAATTTCATAGATGAAATTGTAGGTACTGACTACAACTCTTTTTTTTTTTTTTTTTGAGACAGGGTCTCACTGTGTAGTTCAGGCTAGCTTTGAACTTACAAAGTAGCCCAAGATGGCCTTGAACTGGCGGTGATCCTCCTGCCTCAGCCTCCTGAGTGCTGGGACTACCAACATGCACCACCACACTGGGCAAGATTTAAGATATTGATCTGTTGTTCTTAGTGAAATTTACAACAAAACTTTTTTTTTTAAAAAAAGAGATTTTAAACTTGTCATTTGTATTCTCTGCTGTTAAAATTAAAGATTTAGAAATGATAGGTCTTAATTTATATTGTGGAGCATGGTGGTGCACATAGGGAGACCCTGTCTCAAAAAAACAAATATATTTGTACTTATTTAGACATCCTGTTTAAAGTTTTTTCTTCCATTCTGCTTACATAAACTACTATTATGTCATTTTAAAAAATCTAATTATCCATGTCGTCCTTTTTTTTCTTTGGTACCAGGAATCGAACTTGGGACCTAGTGCTTACCAGGTAGGCCTCATTCCACTGAGCTATATTCCCGGCCCCCATGTTATCTTAATGTGCTGTGAAGCTGGGCATGGTGGTGCACACCTGTAATCCCAGCACTCAGGAGGCTGAGGCAGGAGGATCGTTGCGAGTTCGAGGCCAACCTGGGCTACAAAGTGAGCTCAAGGCCAGCCTGAACTGCATAGCGAGACCTGTCTCAAAAAGAAAAAAAGAAAAAAAAAAGTGCTATGAAAGTACAAAACTGTTTTGTTGTTATGTTGTGTACTGGCTGTAGCCAAAGAATTGGCAAAAACAGTGTTTTTCTTGGTTGGTAAAAGAATCTTGCTCAAACATACATGTTCGTAGTTGGTAAAGTAGATACTAATTTTTTTTTGTTTTGTTTGGTTTTTCTCCGGTACCGGGAACAGAACTCACGACCTTGCGCTTGCCAGGCAGGCGCTTTGCCGCTGAGCTAAATCCCCAGCCCCGATACTAATTTTTTTTGGCTTTTTTTTTTTTTTTTCCCTTGGTCTTTTTGAGACAGGGTCTTGCTATGCAGTTCAGGCTGGCCTCGAGCTCACTTTGTAGCCCAGGCTGGCCCCAACTCATAGCGATCCTCCTGCCTCAGCCTCCTGAGTGCTGGGATTACAGGCGTGCGCCACCATGCTCAACTCCTGTTCCTTACTATTAAAGACCCTTGCCTACCCATAAGCTGGGAGATGGTGATTTCAGGCAAGTGGGTCTCTCAGTCTCCTGAGAACTAGCTTTGACTAAATCCTTTTTTTTCCCTTCTTACCAGGATATAGGGCCCCGTCTGATTTGGTCAGTAGAGAAGCAGACAAACGAGCAGGTGAGCCTAAGTGGCCCGGAACACGGTTACATAAAAACCTGAAGGAGGAGGCACAAGGTAAGAAGCCTTCTCCTTTATCTTACTAAATTTTAAACTTACATAACATCCACTCTTGCATGCATTTGTCTCTGGAGTTCTCTTCCTTGCTTTGCAGAAAGACAGTGCAGCCAAGAACAGAGGCCACCTTTGCTAAATTCATGAAACCCCTGCTTTGATTGCCCATGGGGAGAGATCAACTGGAAAACGTGAGGAGCCAAGTGGGTGTACTCAGGATCCCAGTCCCTTTCGCGAGTACCCTGAGTCAGAATGCCTGCCAAAGGATGGAAGCCTTTGCACCTCTCTTAATCCTGTGGGATCATATTGTAAATTACGGGTCGCCCACACAGGGTGTCCAGAGAAAGGGTGACCGCACTAGAGCATATAGGAAGGTCTATTGGCCTCCTGCGCTGAAGCTCAGGGAGTTTCAACCCTGAGGCTTTTATTGATGAATTAGACTTTGGGCCCCAGAGCCCTTCTGAGAGGTGATGGAAAAAACAGGCACAAGGGGAACTATGAAGATTACTTGCAATTTACCCCTCGCCGCCAGGAAGTTGCCCCACTCTGGCAATGATTTCTGTCCTGGAGCTTGTTTTCTCTCCAGAGACAGGCTAATTGGAATTGGGCCAGCAGAAAGAGAGGGCTGGCTTTGATCAAGCACACATGGTATCAGGGAGGGAATGGGTGCATGTGCTGGTTCTACCTTCCGGTCATTCTAGTTAGCCACTTGCCCTGGGACGGGGGGCTCCTAGCACTAAGAATATGTAAGGGTCTAAAAGGGACACCTCTCCCCTTGTTGTCTTACAGGATGGGAAACTCGAAGTCAGCCTCGAATTCTTTTACTTCATTGAATTGTATTCTTACACACTGGGATTCTTTTGATCCCCAAAGTTTAAAGAAATGTTCCTTAATCTTTTTCTGCACGTGTGCATGGCCTACTTACCCTCTGGGTGAGAAAAGATGGAGACCCGAGGGAAGTACTGATTATGACACTATCCTCCAGCTGGAATTATTTTGTAAGAGACAGGGGAAATGGTCAGAGGTCCCTGACGTTCAAATTTTCTTCACTTTGACAGACAATCTTGATTTATGCTCAAAGTGTGGGTGTGATCAGAAAGAAAATTGGGTGGCTTTAACTGGTAGATCTGGTGTATCCACCACCACCAGGCCTGATGCTCCTCCCCTGCACCCTGCGGGCCCTGAAGCCCCTAAGCCACTGCAGATGAAAGCTTCCAGCCCATGGGCACACACGCCTTATTCTCCCTCAGTGATCTTAGACAAATAAAACAAGATTTAGGGAAATTTTCAGGTGACCCTGATGAGTACATTGAGGTTTTTAGAGGACTTACTCAGTCTTTTTACTTAGCTTGGGAAAATGTTATGTTACTTTTAAACCAGACCCTGACCCCTGGTGAGATGCAAGCGGCTTTGCAAGCTGCTATAGCCTTTGGGGACGAGCTATACCTCAGGTATTCCAAAAGGCCAGAGGCCTTAGGACCAGGAGAACAGCCTTTCCTTACGGGAGCCCAGGCTGTCCCACAGCGGGATCCCCAGTGGGACCCCAATACTGCAGTGGGGGACTGGAACAGGAGACATTTCCAAACTTGTGTTCTTGAGGGCCTGAGGAGAACCAGGTCCAAACCTCAGAACTATTCTAAATTGTCAACTATCAGCCAAGGGAAGGATGAGAATCCCTCGGCCTTTTCAGAACGACTGCAAGCCGCTCTAAGTATACGTCTTTGTCTCTTGAGTCAGAGGTGGGTCAGGTTATTCTTTTTTTTTTTTTTTTGGTTTTGGTTTTTTTTTTGGTTTTTTTCCAGTACCAGGAATCGAACTCACGACCTTGCACTTAACAGGCAGGCGCTGTGCCGCTGAGCTAAATTCCTACCCCCAGGGTCAGGTTATTCTTAAACATAAATTTATCGCTCAATCAGCCTCTGATATCCAAAGGCAGCTTCAAAAAATGGCCTTTGACCCAGACAGCTCACTTAATGTTCTGGTAAAGGTAGCCTCTCTGTCTTCTATAACCGAGACATGGAGGAGGCCAAGGAGAGCAAACAAAGGGTTAAGAAAGAGGCCTCGGCCCTTGCAGAGAGTTTACCTCAGGTCTAATTCCCGGGAGACCAAAGGTGGCCACTTGTCCACAGCCCCCACTTGTTACGGTTGTGGGAAGCCAGGACATTTTAGGAGGGATTGTGACAGAGCTTCCAGCTGTAAGAAGCCTGCTAAGCCGTGCCCTCAGTGCCGGGGAGATCACCAGAGGTCATGCTGCCCCCAGAGGGGAAGGTGTGGAGGACAGATCCATCTTAACCAACTGCTCCAACTGGACTAACCCCTGTGGGCACACCTCTCCCTCCAGCTGAGGAGCCCCCAGTAATTTTTACTATCAAGGGAAAGAAAACTAGCTTCTTGCTGGGCACTGGAGCCAGAGTCTCAGCTCTGCTCTGTAACCCTGGCCTTCCTTCACACAGCTACACCATGGTGAAAGGCGTTACAGGAAAGAATTTTCTCCCTGTCCGATAACTGTGATGGGGAAAAAAAAAAATTGGGATGGGTTTCTATTTTCACATGCTTTTCTGATCATACCTAAAAATCCTGTTTCCTGCCTGAGATTTTTATCTTGCCTAAATGTTATCACTTATATGCACCCAAAACACCAGGTATGTTGTCTTTCTAGAAGAGATGGACGTGAACATGGAGTTATGGGCAAATCAAAGTAAAATAAGAAAGGCAGCCAGGCATGGTGACCCATGCCTGTAATCCCAGCACTCGGGAAGCTGAGGCAGGAGGATTCGAGGCCAGCCTGGGCTACAGAGTGAGTTCAAGGCCAGCCTGAATTGTATAGCAAAACACTGGCTCAAAAAAGAAAGGCAATAAAAACTACTTTTGTGCAGACCCACATGAAGACTCCACTTCTTTTCCACATCAGAGACAATACCCTCTAAGGCCAGAGACAAAAAAAGGAACTGCTGCCTATAGTTGATAACTGAAAGGGACGAGGTCTGCTCTCCCCCTACAGCAGTCCTTAGAACACCCTGATCTCGGGAGTCCAGAAATCTTTCCAAAGAAGACAGGAGCCTGGTGTAGCATCTCTGATTAATAAATGAGACAGTGGTAACCCATACACCTGGTGGCACCTAACCTGGATACCTTTCTTTCCCATGTCCCTGAAGAGGCCTTTTTCTGGGTTTTTGTTTGTTTGTTTGTTGTGTTTTATTTTTTTAAACTCATGAACAGGGACTTTTTTTTTTTTTTTTTTTTTAAACTCATGAACAGGGACTTTTTTTTTTTTTTTTGAGACAGGGTCTTGCTATGCAGTTCAGGCTGGCCTTGAGCTCACTTTGTAGCCCAGGCTGGCCTCGAGCTCACAATGATCCTCCTGCCTCCGCTTCCTGAGTGCTGGGATTACAGGTGTACACCACCACGTCTGGCGACCATTTTTAAATAATGAGGTTTTTTATTCATTAAAAAAAAAATCCAGGCGTGGTGGCGCACACCTTGTAATCCCAGCATCCAGGAGGCTGAGGCAAGAGGATTGCTGTGAGTTCAAGGCCCACCTGGGCTGCAAAGTGAGTTCAAGGCCAGCCTCAACTGCATAGTGAGACTTGGTCTCAAAAAGACACAAAAAAAGATTTGACTAAAGAAATCAGCTCACTTGATAAAATTTCAACAAATTCTGCAGCAATGAATGGAGACTCAACACAGAGCTCGCACATTGTGTATTCTACCCCATAGACTTGGTGCTGGTAAAATCTTCCTTGTCTGCTTCCTTAGGGCCAACTTGGGAGGGGCTGTATATACACACATGAGTGATCCTCAGATCACAACTCACAGAAGCTGGCTTGAATACTGGCTATACCATTCCCAACTCAAGCCCTGCGAGCCTGGGATATCTGTCTTGTGACCCACTGCCTTAATATTCCTATCAGCTGGTAGAAGATTTAAATCTCTTACTCAGAAGAAAAAGTACATCTCCAGATACAAAACTTTGCCATGCTGCCTCTGATTGTTTTCATGGCCACACGTGGCCAGTCAGGGAAGGGCAATTCAAATTCGTTTTTCGGTGCAGCAAGAAACATGCTAGGTTTGAGGACTACTTTCCTTTTGCAGCGCCTCAGGGCTCCCCCGGTGGGCATCCTTCCAGAGTGATGAGCAGAATAAGCTGGACGATTTCATTAATCACGCAAAAGCCCTCCGGTGTTTCTCAGGTGGTGTGCAGATCTAAGGTAGGTAAATGGCCTAAACAGTCATTCTTCGTAGCCTAAAACACTATCAAGCCTTCTGTAGAAGTGACACTCAGACCTCCATGTGGGCACCGGCTGATCCTGTTACCCAGGCTCACAGGCCAAGGTCCTATTAGATCTAACAACAACACCAAGGTGGCTGCTTGGGTTAACCCCCACTGTGGGGTGCCTCAGCCACAGGACCCCCTCACCTTAGGAACAGCATCACTAAACAGGATGGGCTCTCTGTAATCTGATGGGCTCTGTAGATACGTGTGACACTGCAGGCAGAGAGCTGCTTTGCGGTAGGTTGGATTAACGACCCCGAAATTTGATATGGCACCCCTCACGGTGCCCATGGGCTCTGGGACTACTTTATGGCCTTGGGTGGGTTGGAAGATGTACTCTTAGACTTTCCTGGCATTGCCCAACCTGTCAGCCAATCCCATCTTCTTTTTATTTTCTGTTTTTTTGGCTTTTTTCCGGTGCCGGGAATCGAACTCACGACCTCATGCTTGCCAGGCAGGCGCTGTGCCTCTGAGCTAAATCCCCAGCCCCCAACCCTATCTTCAATACCGGTGGTCTCAAAGTATATTTCACTAGTGATCTTTTTTTTGCAGCGGGTGGCGGTTCTTTTTGAAACAGGGTCTTGCTATGCAGTTCAGGCTGGCCTTGAGCTCACTTTGTAGCCCAGGCTGGTCTTGAACTTGCAATGATCCTCCTGCCTCAGCCTCCCAAGTGCTGGGATTACAGGCATGCACCACCATGCCTGGCTCACTGGTGATTATTTAACATCTACCTTTACTCTCTCCCTGGGGCTGGGAGATACCATACAACATACAGAGATATTAACCAACTGGTGTATGCCCAGCAAGCCCTAAACAACCCAAGGGAATTTCTTTCAAACACTGGAGTCAAATTGATGAGACAGGTTGTCTCACAGAACATGGCTCTAGATATCCTAACACAAGGCAGAAGCTATGCCATCAAATTGAGAGATTTCAGTCCTCTCAGGTCTTCCTCAGCAGGTCAGTGCCCTGATGTTCCCTGTATAACTTCTCTATGAGAAGCCATTCCTGGCTCACTAGTAGAGAGAAACATCGGTGGTTGGGGTCATTATTCTCTTGAGACTGCTATTTGGTTGTGCATACTCAATAAACTCTGTCTCTTCCAGACTCAAGGTTACCCGTCCACCCGATGTCTGTCAAGGGCCTTTAGACAGACCCTCTGGGGAGCATCCCCGACTGCCGACTACTGCGTCTGCCCCATCCAGCAGGAAGAAGCTAGAGCAGTCGTCACCCGTTTTCTCCTAACAGCAGTCAGGGACTCTTCGCCAGAGGGAATTTGTAGTAAGCACGGCAGGCAGCTAGGGATAAAGTAGACCCAAGATGGCACTGCGGTGACCCAGGGGAGGTCAAAATGAAGCCTTGAGACAGGCCTGAGAAGAACCAGGCCCCAGGATGGAGACACAAGGGCCATGGCTGAATCTCTGTAGCCTCACCTAGCTGAACTGTTTTGTAACCTGGCAGACTGACCTTAGCCTGGTGCAGAGTGCTCTGAGATGTGGTCTTGTTCTTGTAGAAAAACCGCTAGACAGAGTCCCCCAGCAACCCACCTTCCAACCCGTCCCAATTATAGGAGCTTTCTTCCAATAAACCCTTTTTCCTACCTGCATCCTGGAATCCATTCTTCAGCCATGGGAGGCACGCACTTGGGTTTATGCATGCGCCCCACAGCACAGATAGAGCGCTACAGTCCTGGGGACAGCTCGCTCCCTGCTTACCTAGCCATGCTTTTATTCTTCCAAGCAGTCAGCGAGCTTCAGCGGTGTGCCTGGCACACTGCTGGCTCCTGAGATGAGCAGAACACTCCTTAAGCATTGGGAACACAGGTGGGAAGAGTGATTAACAAGGAATGAGTGTCTTCCACAGGCCGGAGGGCTGGAGGGCTGGGCTGGGGCTGCAGTGGGAGCATGTCCGGGCATGCCCAGCTTGCAGCCAGCCCTGGCTGAGGGTAGTGGGAGGTGGGGACAGTTTTGTAGCTTCTCTGAAGGCCCTGAAAAGGTTTGGTTTACATGCAGGAAAAGGTGTGTGACATGGTTACAAAGTCCTATCTGCCAGGCAGGAGGGACCAAAACTCTTCAGCTCCTCAGAGTGGTTAAAGGTTGAGAATCACACCTTTGCCAGGTGTGGTGGTGTATACCTATAATCCCAGCACTCAGGAGGCTGAGGCAGGAGGATCCCTGCAAGTTCAAGGCCAGCCTGGGCTACAGAGTGAGTCTAGGGCCAGCCTGAACTACATAGGGAGACCCTGTCAAAAACAACTGCCCACTCAAGGTCCAAAGGTTCTCCTAGCAGACAGTAATAGAAGGCCTGGTCTCCACCGTGGAGTGGAGAAACCACTGAGCTTCCCACCTCAGGCCTCCTTGCAGGAGGGTTTATCCTAAAACCCACTCCTGCTCTGGGAAACACTGCCAGGAGTAAACCCTGGTCCTTTGTTCATTCTTTTTAAGAACAAGGATGGGCCAGGAGTGGTGGCGCATACCTGTGATCCCAGTGCTTGGGAGGTTGAGGCAGGAGGATCGCCATGAGTTCAATGCTAGTGTGGGCTATATAGCAAGTTAAAGACCAGCCTGGACTACACAGTGAGACTCGGTCTCAAAACCGAGAAAAAAAAAAAAAAGGAAGAAAAGGATGGCACTCTCCTGTAATTCCTGCACTCTGGAAGACTGAAGCAAGAAAATGCAAGTTTGAGGTCAGCCTGGGCAACTTTGTGACTTAGCAAGACCCTGTATTGAAATTTTTAAAATAAAAATTATACAAAAAAAAAAAAAAAAAAGCCAGGCATGGTGGTGCACGTCTGCAATTCCAGCACTTGGGAGGCTGAGGCAGGAGGATCGTTGTGAATTGAAGGCCAGCCTGGGCTACAAAATGAGCTCAAAGCCAGCCTGAACTGCATAGCGAGACCCTGTCTCAAAAAGACCAAAACAATTTAAAAATATTTTAAAAATAAAATAAAAATTATAAAAGGCTGGGGATGTAGCTCAGTCTGAAGGCCCTGGGTTCAATCCCCAGCAGCCTCCTCAAAAAGAACAAAAAGCCCTATTTTTCTTGGGCCAGTATTCCATAATTTTCTGAATTATTTTTCTATCACAAAGAAACTGGGGTGGCCGAGAGTGTTGCTCCGTGGCACAGCATGTGCCTCACATGCAGGAAGCCCTGGGCCTTCCCCATCTCCAGCTGAGTTAGAAAGAAGCCAAGCAAGCCCCACCACCCTTACTCTGCCCCAGCTGTTCAGGTATCCCCCGTGCCGAGTGCGAGTAAAACCCTCCACCTTTTCTCCTGGGAAATAGGACAGGCTTGCATCCAGCCACCCCTAACTTTTTTCTTCCCACCTCAGCAGAGGTGATTGAAAGACTGCCTCCAAGCTCCTGATGCGATGGCCTTCATCTAGGGTCTTTCAGGCTCCCAGCTGAAAGACCTGGCCTAAAGGATGGGCAGAAAAGCCCAGCGGTAGGGCCTCGAATGTCCTGGGGCTAACAGTATTCTATTCTGTGACTGTCCTGAAGAGTCTCCTAACTGAATTCCGTGAACTGGGGGGAGGGATTGTAAATTTGTTCCCAGCAGTGGTTCTCCCTCCTGTAAAATCCTAGCGGGGGTACAAGGCTTGGAATCTGGCCCTTTCTGATCCCAATTCTTGATTTGCCCGCCTGATCTGTTCATTGGTCTTTCAAAAATTTGGAAAGGGAATGTGGGACTGGAGATGGCCGTGGCCTGACTTTTCTGCAAGTGTCATATGTAATGCGTAAGCCTGCCCCTGGGCGAGGCTCGCCCGTCTCATCTGATTTGGCTCCTGCCCACAGGGCCAAGTATCTGATGTAAGTTTGGTTCTCTCTTCCATCAGGGTCCGTGTGTCCCAGACTGATAACCCTTTTAAGAAATAAAGGTCGCGTCAATCCAAATCTCCTCCCACCCTTGGCAACCACTATCAGCCTGCAACACCGCTGCCAGGCCAGATTTCCTGTGGCCCCGCCTGAATGACGAAACCCGCGCTGGCCATTGCACTACCGGGCTTTTACGGAGATCTCGGCCCTCGGTCCCGAGGCTCTCTGAGGCTTTCACACAGAGCGCAGGGAAGGGCTTAGGACCCGGCGGGCGCCCCGTGCTAAGCGGGGTGCGCGCGACGGTGCCCGGGGCCAGCGGGTGGCGGCGCCCTGGGCCGGGCGGACATGGGTGCTAGTTCTCGGGCGCTGGGAGCAGGGGCTGTGAGCACCCTTCCAGGCACCAACCAAGCTCCTCCTGGGGAACAGCTGGAGAATCCGCTCGGATGGAGCTCGGGGGGGCTGGGCTTGTGGGGGAAGGGGGACAGGGATCCCGAGAATCATCCCCCGGGACTGCGAAGTCACAGGCCGGCGGGACCCGGACCCGGGCGCACGCAGGCCGCCGTGGCGCGGGCTTCAGACCCCACCCCCACAGCCCGGCCTTCGCCAGGCAGGGACGGCGCGGGGCGCGAGGCGTGTGGGGTCAACATCGCCCCCGCGCCGCGGTCCCACTGGCATCCTCTGGAGTGCCCAGCTGTGCCCTTGGCCCTCGAGATGGCAAGCGCTGGGAGTCACTGCCCTCCCTCCCGCAAGTTCCCCAGCCTCCCCAGCCTGCGCGGACACGGGCTGTACCCCTCCCCCCGCAACGCGACCCTATAATAAACAAGTCTTTCCTTGATCCTCCCCTGCCGCGAGCGCCCTCGGGGACCTTGGCAGCTGCAGCCGCCACCGATCCCTTCCAGAAAGGGGGCGTGGCCGCGGCTCGGGGTTCGGCCGGGAGCTTTCTGGGGCTACGTGGAGGCGGGGCGAGGCCGCTGTCACCGGGCAGGAGAGAACGTTGTGAACGTGCGCTTGGAGCTCATTGGTTGAAGTGGGCCACACTCCCGGGTCTGGATTGGGTCTCGGCGCGGAGAGGGCGTGGCCTCGGCGCTGTAGTCCTTATAGGCTGCTGTGCGCTGGTGCTAGGGATCGCAGCAGGCCAAGGGGGAGGTGCGGGAGGCTAAAAGGGACAGGTCTGGGCAGCGCTCGGTGGTTGGCACCAGTTCGCGCACCCATTCAAGCGGCCGGACTCACCTGTCCCAGCAGTTCTCGCTGACCGTGCGAGTTGGTGAGTGTCCCTTGCGTGCGCGCTGATCTCTGCGTGGGGTGGCCTCGGTTGTACGGGTCCTAGCGCTCGCGGTTTTGTCCACCCTTTGACTGACGCCCGGTCCGTGTCCCTCTTGTCTTTCAGCGGCTTCTTCGCTCCGGCACCCTTGAGCTCATCAACGAACTCCTGGCTTCCGACTTCACCATGCCTAACCTTTGGGACCGCTTCTCCTCCGCCTCCTCTTCGTCTTCGTCGCGAACGCCCACCCCGGATCGGCCTCCGCGCTCGGCCTGGGGGTCGGCGGCCCGGGAGGAGGGGCTGGACCGCTGCGCGAGCCTCGAGAGCTCGGACTGCGAGTCCCTGGACAGCAGCAACAGCGGCTTCGGGCCGGAGGAAGGTGAGGGCTGTGGGCGGGATCCGAACGCGGCTCCAGGGGCTGGGGAGGCGAGGAGGCACCGTGCTGGCAGGGGTCGAGCCATTTGGCTTCCTTTCGCAACGGGGCTAGATTGCCCCGGGGCGAGGGGATTGGAGTAGAGGGTGCGAGCGTGGGGCGGAAACTGAGGCACGGAACGGGAAGGAGCGCAGCTTTCTTAGCGCACAGCACCTCCCCCGCCTGTAGATCCCCTGTGGAGATCTACAGGGGATCTCTCCACAGGAGAGAGTACTGAGGAGGCTGCTCTAATACCCCTCCCCGTGCGCCTTCCTTCCAGATTCGGCCTACTTGGATGGGGTGTCCCTGCCCGACTTCGAGCTGCTCAGTGACCCCGAGGATGAGCACCTGTGTGCCAGCCTCATGCAGCTGCTCCAGGAGAGCCTGTCCCAGGCGCGACTGGGCTCACGCCGTCCCGCGCGCCTGCTGATGCCAGCCCAGCTGGTGAGCCAGGTGGGCAAAGAACTGCTGCGCCTGGCGTACAGCGAGCCGTGCGGCCTGCGGGGGGCGCTGCTCGACGTCTGCGTGGAGCAGGGCAAGAGCTGCCACAGCGTGGGCCAGCTGGCCCTCGACCCTAGCCTGGTGCCCACCTTCCAGCTGACCTTGGTGCTGCGCCTGGACTCTCGCCTGTGGCCCAAGATCCAGGGGCTGTTCAGTTCGGCCAACTCTCCTTTCGTCCCCGGCTTCAGTCAGTCCCTAACACTGGGCACCGGCTTCAGAGTCATCAAGAAGAAGCTGTACAGCTCCGAGCAGCTGCTCATCGAGGAGTGCTGAGCTCCCGCCCGGGGGCTGCACTGCCCCCACGGCAGACAGTAAACTTTTAGGGTGGAGACTTGGCAGGCCAGGGCCAAGGCACTGATGCCTGTGTTAGAAAACTGACAATAGCCCCCAGTGGAGGAGGTTGCAGAGGGGGGAGCGTAGTGTTTCCTAGGAAGCTCACTGAGTTGTGTGCAGGTGGGTCCCCGTCGGGGCGCATGCCCCTCAGTACTGTAGCATGAAACAAAGGCTTAGGGGCCTTCAGGCTTCCGGCTGGATGTGTATGTAGCATGTACCGTATTATTTTTATTATCCCTGACAGTACCACGGCAGTGGTGTGACAGCTAGGAGGGCAG